AGAATACGCAACTAGACTAGAGAACAAGCTAGGCTGTTCGCTTAGACGCGTGTCTGTGATTATTCATTAGTTTTCATTTTTATTTTGCATTAAATTGATTGTTCAATCCAATTTGTTATTAGTGTGTGTGTCAAGGAGAGATCACAGATCAGTTGAATAATTGTTATTTTATTTTTGAGGGTTCAATTATTTTTCCAATAACCTTTTTTTTTGTCATTTTTATGGAATTTTTTTGTTTGTTTATAACATTTTTTATAACATGTGCATTGTTCATGTATTTAACAAAAATCGTTTGCTGCTGTAAACAACACAGATAAAGAAGTAAATTGAAACCTAAGAAATTATGTGCTGTCTTTTTGTGCTGAGATTTTGATTTCGTGTATTCCGAGCGTTAATTAGGGCCTTGTTGAATTTACTAACATTTTCCTACCCTGACGAGAGAATATCCTAACAAATTGAAATAATCAATCTAGAGATACTGGCTCAAAAACAACTATAGCTGTGAGTTACCGTAACCAGGGACCTCAGTACCTGCCACAGACAAGCCAACTAACCAGAAACTCTTCAGTATTAAATATAGATAGTGTTGATTGAATGTAGTGTGTGTAATTAAAATTTTAGCACAAGAACAGGGGCGGTACCTAGTTTCAACTTTTATTGAATTATTGACTCACAATTATTATTCAAATGACACAGTATGTTTCCATTTTTGAGGAATGTTAGATCGAGGGTTTCTCTGCCATGCTCTTTCCCCTCGTTAGTCCCAGGATGAGAACGTTACGATTTGCTTCAATAATAAAGTAGACGTTTCACAAATTTTTCGTTTCTTTTACATATCACAGCCCTTAAATTTCCCAAATATTTGCTATGTCGAGCGCATGACCAGTAAGTAAGTTTCCACAACGTAGGTCCTATTTGTTTTTCATTTTGTTTTTCCAGAGGATTTGTTGTTTAAAAGGTAATAAAAATTCTCATCGTTCAATCTTACTGAACGAACCCGGGTATGTTATACTACACTCGTGATATTGTTTTGTTCAGATGGTTGTTCCAAGTCAGTTTCCGGCCAGGGTGACCTTTACATCTGAGAAAGATAATTGAGTGCCGTTTAGAGTGGGGGCTCGCAGATCCAGCTTCCTTCATTTCGAGAACGGAACTGAGGTTGTTTTGCTGGGATTTATGGAAAGTCCTTCTTCCTCGCTCCAGTTTTTGATTATAACCAAGGCACTTTGCATTCGGCCTGTTATTATGCCTTCATGCTTGTCTCTCATTATTACCGCCAGATCATCTGCGTATCCTAGGACATTTATTCCCACGTTGCTTAGTCTGGTAAGGATGCTGTCTACCACTAGTGTCCACAAGAGAGGCGAAAGGACATCACCTTGGGTGGGGGGCAGCCTTTAACCGTGGTGACAGTAACTGTTTCGCCGTTCAAGTCCGCCGATACTGGGCGATGTTTTAGCATGGCTTCTGTCCATCCTATAATGAGAGATTGTATTTCCCTATCCTCAAGAACTTTTTTGATAGATCGGTGTGAGGTGTTCTCGAAGGTAACCTCTATATCTATAAGGGCCGGTTTCTCAATAGCGAGTAACCTCCGGGTTGGTTTTAACTCCAGGGTAAGCGTGTCAAGTTGCAGAGTTTATCCTGGAGTTATGCAACCCGGGATTTCTTCTGCCTCAAGTGCCTTTTCTATGTCTGTTACTAGACAATGAGTGCACTTTTAGTGGATTTGTCTGCTTGGATATTCTCCCTGCCAGCCTCCGGCCTCTTTCGATGGGGTTATCAAGTCCTTTGCTATGGGAGGCAGGCTGGTTTTGAGAATTTTCCTCGATTGATCCCGGAAAGTGAGTCTTCAGTAAGACCTCTAGAGTTACTTTTTGGTTGTTGCAGTACTCTGTGTTTGGCTTTTTTAGCAGACCAATGCCATTCAACTGTTTTTTTTTGACAGGACTATTTGTAGAAGATTATATGGCCTTGGCTTTTAGGGAGCTTAATTCCCGATTCTTCCAAAGCTCATCCCTATGGACTGCCTTTTGTTTTCAAGGGCGTTTTAGATTGCATTGCATTGATTAGACTATGCGAGCCTGCTTTTAGTTCTTTCTCTATCTCAATGGTGTATGATAGATTTTCTAAGCTCATGCTGAGAGTGTCTTTATCCCAATTTGTGAGCTCTGGAATTCTCCTTTCTTCTGTTTTACTGGCTGTTGTCTTCAAGTCGAAACTAACCTAATCATTCGATGGTCCAATATGGAAGGTTCTTCAAAGACGTTTTCTATCAGGATCAGCTAGGGTGACGTCTTGACCAGTAACTTTCTTTCAAGTCTGCGGCTGATAATATTTTTTTTGTGCAACCGTCCGCGAAGTGAGCTTTCGCGGCCGCTACGCGGTCCGCGAAAATCAATTTGGCGGCCGTTGCCCTTGGTGACGGCCGGGAAACTATTAATCAAAATTTGACACTTTGACAACAACAATGAGTACATTTTATTTTCAAATTCTTCAGAACAACATAAATTATTCGAGATAAATATTAACACTTTTGCGACACTTTGCATTATTACTAATATTTACTCCTGAAGCTGAAGCAACTAATAATCCAGTGTTTTTGAATTGAACTCTCAAAACTTTCCATTTCTGCATTAAATAAGCAAATATGTTTTCTGCCGCCATTTTGACATTTTATTTGTCAGACCAATTTTTGAACTCGCAGTAACAATTTCCATATTGCCGCTTAGTTTTCCAGGTATTAACTCAGAAATAGCTGATTGAACCATACTTTTTAGCTCTGGAGGAGTGCAAGAAAGTAAAATATCTCTATCGCTTTCGGACATCTTCACGATTTTTCGAGAACCGTCAAAATTTTTTGTGTATTTGTTTACTTGCAAAATATGTCATCCATGACATCCATAGAAACGCTGTGCCACCATAGACACCAGGTTATACATCAAACTGGTAGTTAGTTCCACATATTTGTTAAAAGGAGTTCTTTTTTTCTGTAATTTCACATAATTTTCATGGTTGCACAAAAAATAGTGTGTATACCATGACCGCGAAACTTTTTAGCGTCCTCGAGATTATCTTGTCTCGGCCGCAAACGGCCTCGGCGATAACTTTTCTCTACGTACGCTAAAAGGCACTTCGCGGCCATGGTATACAAATAACTATTAAGAATTAATTGACTGATTCAATGTTTATAAAATTTCAAGAAAACTGATTATATTGTATCTCATAAAATCAAGGGAGAACCTCCGGTTAAGTTGGAGTATGATGGGAAAAAATTAAATGAAGAATACTCAATAGGGAATTTTCATAAGAAAGAAATATGGCTTATTTTCTTTTTATGGTGCACATTTTTGTGTAAAATATTGAATATGAGTAGTTTTGTATTAAATTTATGGATATTATAGTCATATGGCAATTATTAGTTTTAAATTGAAAAGTTTCGCGCGGAAAAGTTACGTTTAACATGGCCGCTTCCAGTGACGTCAACTGTTCGTAATTTGAGGTTAAGGGTAGTTTACACTGATCGTAAATCCACGGTCCACACTTTCGTGGTTCACTCTTAAATCGTGGAATGATTGGTCCACGATCAGTTGACGTCACGCCACGACTAATATTGAACCACCATAAACGGGTATATTGAGGGAAGATTGTCAGACTGCGCTTTTGTAAGTCCTGTATCAACCATGATGAACTATTTGAATTACAAGATGTCACAATATGGCACTAAATACGGAAATACCTCATAAATAACCGCTTTCAAGTTTCAATGCAGTCGCAGGTTCAAGCTGAGCGATTCTTTCCGACAGTTTGCAAAGTGTCAAAGGCTCTTGTGAGAACAGACCTTAACGTTGTGTTTACAGACAGTTGACGTCACAAATGCCACCATCTTGAAGCTAATCGTTTTCGCGCCAACGAAAATAATTTGAAATTCAAAATAATTTTTTTATTTCAATGAGGACATAAAACAAAAAAAAATACATTTTATATTTGAAAACATAAGCAATAAGAAAAAAAATACTTTGAAAAATATTATTGTTCCCTATTGGGGTTTTCGTTTTCGGTATTGTGCTTGTAGATGTTCCTATATGGGAAGAACATTTTACATCACTTTATTTAAGTTAAGTAGTTGCTGCTATGCTATCGTATCAAAAACCCTTAACCAGCATTCATCAAATGTTCACGGCTGGTGCTCAATCGGGGGTAGGTATCTTTGCCTTACGCCCAAAGTCATATTAATTAGTGTTAGGTTGTTGAGGTACGGATCCCAAATAAAAATATCGGAAATAAGTTTGTTGAATTGTCGAAGTTCAGCCATTTGATTTATGCTTCTTCACGAAACGTCGACAATTTACCAATCCAACTTCTGCTGTGTTTTTTCTCATCCATACTCCATCAACATCATTAACATGAAGGGTCGACAACATTTTTTATATTTTTTTTATACCTACTATTACATTCTAGATGGGAATACAAATTCAGAGAGAAACAAAACTTACTTGGAAAAACAGGACAAAAGCAACCCACTGATAATACTTCACTTGTTTAATTGGTCTGCTTCCAGTGAACAAAACTCCCGGATAATGGGCCTGATCGCTGATGATCCTTTTATGGGCATCAACAACAGTGAATGTCGAATGAATCCAGCAAAACGTATTTAGCACATCTTCAGGAATATCTCTACAACAAAACATTAAAAATACTACATTTTTAAAAGCTTTTTTATGCTGTATGCTGTATTGTTTCTGCTGCCAATTTAAATAGGTGACAAGCAGACAAAACATATAATTTTGTTTTGGGGTCAGTTCTAATTTAAATTTTGGTTTGTTTATAAAAATAATGTAAATTGGTTTTTGAAGGACAATAAATGGATTAAAAAATTTAACAAAAAAGATGCAGATATAACCTGCTTCTTATTCAAAGAATCATTGGAAATTATTATTAGCAAATTATTTAAGGTCATGGATCACGGACGCAATGCATAATAAAATCAACAATAATGCTTTGACTGTTAAGTAAAGAAGTTTTATCGCTTTATTGGGTAAGGTAATTCCCCATTCTATCAATTCATGTGGGACATTGTACTTCACCGTTTACAGTTTGAAATAAAAGGGTATATAAAGAAATTACTTGAAGACATCACTGACATAAACCTTCTAAGATATATCCATTATTATTCATATTGCAGTGAAAATTATTTTCCTTTATAACAAAATGAATAAGAGTGTTTTGATTGTATTTGCCATTTTAGCCAGTTTGGTTATGAGTACCTACGGCGCTCCCGTGGAAGAGTTTGATGAACAAATCCATGAAGGTAAGATGACATAGACTACCTTATTCTGATGTCAGAAATAAATCATAATCATGAACTATTATCTCTAATATATTTTTTAAATATCTGATTGATGAAATTAGAAGATAAGTCTAGGAAAATTGTCGATTTTCATTAAAAAAAAATTCTACCCAAATTAATTTTTTAGGGCTGATAGGGGGCGGGTGGGTGATCATAAAACCGAAGATATCACACATCCACCCCTCTGGCGTTTTGCGCTATAGGGGTTGAAAATGCGCCATTAGCGATTACTTGGTACCTATTGATTTTACAAAAAAATGTTTCAAATAAAAAGTGTGCAACATTATTTGATCAACAATGTTTATCTGAAGACTTTTTTGATTAAGGGCCGTCTGTGGTCGTAAGGGCCGTTTGAAATTCAAAATGAAAGTAGAAATTTTTAACCTAAGGGAAGTCTCTCCCCGCTGAATGGGGGTGAGTTACAAAAAATTTGATGAGGAAAAATTGTAGGAAATTTTATCTTATAAAACTTTTATTGAGAAAATTCGTTTGTAAAAAAATAAAAAAAAAATTTAAACTACCCCTATTGAAAAACGGAGGCGGTGAGTAAAAACTTCATTAAGCAAAAACGTTGTATGTGTTGTAGAATTTTTTTTCAAGTTGGTTGAAATTTTTTATTTTCATTTTAAAATTCAAACGGCCCTTATGACCAAAGACGGCCCTTAATTAAAAAAGTCTTTAGATAAACATTGTAGATCAAATAATGTTGCACATCTTTTATTAGAAATATTTTTTTTGTAAAATCAGTAGGTACCAAGTAATCGCCAATGGCGCACTTTCAACCCCTATAGCGCAAAACGCCAGAGGGGTGAATGTGTGATATCTTCGGTTTAATAATCGCTCACCCGCCCCCTATCATCCCTGAAAAGTTCATGCACAAGACGAAAATAATAGTTGTGTCGTCCATCACCCCATGCAATTTTAATAAGGAAAAGACATAAGAGTTCTGTTTTTGCTATAATATACTTACTAAAAAAAGTTACTTATAGTCCAGGAGGCAATGAAATTTTTTAGCACTTATTTTCCCAGTTGGTGTCTATCAAATAGTTTGTTCTCCTGGTGATACAAAATAAGAAATTTTGAGTCTGGCTAAAATTTTCGGATGGGTTCAGAAGATCAATAAAAAATACAAGTACGCTTATTTTCCCAGACATAAATATTTCACATTTACTACAATAGAATATAAAGTATATGAAAATAGCAATTTGGCTTATCTCAGATAGTGGAAGTGAGTCTGGCTGAAAATTTTCGGGTCTTCAATTTTTCACTTGCCAGACATATTATCCATACTCACAGATTAGCCGGACTATTTTCTTACGTAACTTCAGTATACTTCTCATTAGTAGACCTATTTTTATCACTGAGAAAAAAAAGGCCGTGCATTCTTCAGCTTTAACGCATTTTGCCCCTCAACCCATCGGAAAACCCCCCCTAAAAATATATGTATTTTGCTTAGAATTACTAACCCTACAATTCTATCCATGTTGTCTGGGAAAATAAGTACCTACCGAAAATCGTCACTGCCTCCTAGACTATTAATATTTTGTCATTTCGAAGGAGAGTGAAATGTTATTTTTGAAATAAGATGATTTTTTTTTCCAGGACACATTAGGGTTAGACGTGCTACTTGCGACCTTTTGAGTTTTGAAATTAAAGGCATAAAAATCAACGATTCGGCTTGCGCGGCTCATTGTATTACTCGTGGAAAAAGAGGGGGCTATTGTAATGATTACAAAGTTTGTGTTTGTCGAAAATAGAGTAATTTTATGTTAGTTTTATTTCAAATTACTATGTTTAAGAATTTAAAAAAAAAGTAATAAAAGAATTCGTCAAAATTATTTCATATATTTACTTGATATTGAGACGGAATATTATCCAATAGTACGAAACATTCAATAACAGATAATTCGGTTTCTCTTATTGTTTTACAGGGCACAGCCATGTCCTATCGTGTAAGTATTCTGGCAATGTCCAGAGTCAATACAAGCTCATAGTATGAGTTATTACAATGACAAATCACATTATTACCAGTGGGATCTATGTTTGACAGTTGTGTTATCGTTACCCGTACTATTGGATTATATTATGTTCAGTTCAATTTGGTAGTCAGTTATTGTTTCCTTAAATCATTACACAGAAATTTGTTTTTAAATTAATAATAACACTAAGAAGCTCTGCTACTCGAAGCCACGTCTCGCGTCGCAAGTATAATTTAATAATATACGATTTATCTAAACTGTGTGCTTTATTTGCTCGCCCTTTAATCAACAAATCTCTATAAATTTTTAAATTGATCAAATATACATAGATGGGACACGCTTACATTACAGATTATTCAAGAAATATTGCTAGTTCTCTTCTAAGCTTCCAGAAACTATTAGATTGGAGATCTGCAGACTTATTTAGTTTATTCAAAAATGGCATTGTTTCAACTTAGGTTACTCAGGGTAGTTTCACAAAAAGTCCTTTAAGGCATGCGCAAGTATACATATAGTTATCTATATGTCTGGCATTTTTTTAGAGTTTGGACAACACTGCAGGGCCCATCCCATTATCTGACTCCCATGCGAAATCTTAATTCCCAGAGGCTTGAAATAACAGAGATAAACCTCAAAATCGCCTTGCGTACTTTGTGCACTATCTTGCAAAACCGCGTTGAGATGGCCAGGGACTCTTTCACACTTAAATAACTACCTATTTATTTAAACTAGTAACAGAAAATTCACCAAAACCTAAAAAAGCGTAGCTGTTCACGTTGAGAATTGTCCACGCCCTTACTTTTGGAGCCAGGATTTTTTTTTCTTGCCTATACTTTTCTTTCCCTCTACTCTACCCTGCATAAGCTTTTGTAGCAGTAGGTATTTATCATTGCGTTAGACGTTTTTCTTATCTCAATGAGTGTTGTGATCGGCAAAGTACTAAGACGCATTAGTACTTTGCCGCTGGTGAATCTGTCAGTCCAGGATGCTTCTATAGAGCCACATCTCAAATACCTCAAGGTTTTTGTTCATTTGAGTTTTCAAGTTCCAAGTTCCTACAATATACAAAGGTGTTATCCAGAAGTGAGAGTTACTTGTTGATTGCGTTTCGGCTTCAATTGATTTGTTCTTCTGCCCCTAATAATTTGTGAAGTTCATCCAGGGATACCTGGGAGAGTTTCAGAGGCTTTACTTGGGATTGCCGATCATCGTTTCTTGTGTGTATTCTGGGAAGTGTTAATGGTTCTTCTTGGATTACAATTTTCTCAACCAAGAAGTTTTCACTGGAAGTTCTGAATTCGCATCCTGTTGGTAAACTGATTAAGAATACTCCTTTGAGTTGATACTTTCGTAGGCCTAGGCCTAGGAAATATGGCTATATAATGAGCATTGGATAGATCTTGTATTAACGTGGTGTTGATTGACACAGGTATTTGCCGGCAAGTTGCTTCGCTGTTGCTTAGTTGACGTATTTGGCTTATACAATCCTGGTTGTTATCTTGTCATAGGTATTCGGAATCAATTTTACGGCATGGAACCGTGTATTGGAATAAATTTTCGCTCAGGGCCAAATAGGGAGCAGGAGGAATTATGGTGGTATGATTCGTCGTGGGTATTGAGAAAAGATGGAAATATATGAAAATTTCTGGTGACAGAATGGATAAATTCAGGATGAAGACCATGGTGTGGTTTGAGAAGTATCCATCAATGCTAATTATATCATAGAACTTAGGTATATCTTCTTCGTAGATATAAGGAAGCTGGATTTCAGAGTAGTGTTCGAGCATCTTCTTAACGGCCCATTTCAGTTCGTCGGATTTGATAAGAGAGTTATGAAGAGTGTTTGTTTTTGAAAATGTTATAGCTACCTCGAGGTCGTTGAGGATTTGCAAGATGACTTGGAGGGCTAAGTTCAGCTGATCTAAGACGTTTCTGTTGTAGAAAATGGTTAAAGTCGAACATGAATTTACTACGTTCGGAGTTAATTTTGGCCGCTACTTTTTCTATAGTTTTTTCGTTATGAGCTATAAGGGAGATTGTGTGATTGAAGTTTTCCATTATTTTGTTGAGACTCATCCGCTGATTCACTTGGGAGACATTATTCTCTTGGCTATGTTGTAATGTTGCGATTGCGGCGTCGTACCTTTGGGCGTCTTCGTGGTCCAGGTTTCCAGATATGATTTTTATAATACTGTCGAGACCATTGAAAATTCCTTCTCTGCATCTTTGGAAAGGAATGAAGGTACCAAGTTTTTCTTTGGCGGCTTTTAATAGAAACTGTAAACTTTGATCGAAATTTGGCAGGCTTTTGAAGTATGGGTGACTCAGTCCATTTTCTATTGCTGTTTTTACTGAATCCTATTATTCTTCCAGAGACTGAAGTTCCTTAATTACTGGGAAGAGGTCGAAAAAGTGAATGAAGTCGTGGGTATTATTCTGAATCCTTGCTCGTCCCAGCTTGAGGGGAAGTATTCCTGGGTTGTCCTTCAGGTCCTGGATCAGGAGGTTCTGAGCGACGGCTGAGGAACATCTGTAAGGAGTTATTTCCTGGAAGTTTTTTAATGTATTGTCGTGTCTTGAGTGTCAATGGTCACAATATTGTCAGTATTAACTGTCTTGGGGGAGAATCTTGGTAGTTTGTTCCGCTTTACAATTTTCCTGGTGTAGAGATCTTCGTGGTAGATTTGTAGGTGAGAAGGGTTTGCCTGGTTATGTTTCTTTTTCTTATGTACTTTCGCGCAGTTCGTATAACTGTGTTTGCCTGCGGAAAAGTAACACTTTGCGCACTTGTTAGGAAAATAAGTGTTTTCCTGACGTTAACGTCAAACGGATCCTGCGCATAAATCCATTGGTCGCATGTTTGTTATTGAATGGATAGAATTATTGTATCCGAGAAGTGCATATGGCATTTTTTCTTCAACGCTTAAGGATTTTCTATTTTCTCGAAGTATCCTCAGGTGTTCGATAATGGTGGAGTGGGATCTATCATCCCGTTGGATTGTGGGTTATCAGGGGTAGTATAATGTATAGATATCTTATATGTATCTACAAATTCCTGTATAAGTCCATTCTTAAATTCTGTTCCACTATCAATGACGAATATGTGTGGTATTGCATGATGTGTTATGAAGATTAGGATGGCATCAAGAACATTCACTGAACTTGATCCCTCTATGGGTTAGGCCTGTCCATATTTTGAGAAGAAATCAATAATTTGTTAAAAACTTTAGCCCTCCGACTTGGAAGGTATCTAGATGAATAATTTCCAAAGGTCTCGTCGGTGTTGGAGTAATCATGAATTAAGGTTTGGCAGGATTCTAATCGTATTGAACTATCCAAGATGCTGTCAAACTTGAATTAAAATGGCCGCCAAGAGGCACACAAACCCTTTTTTTATGTGTCATTCAATGTGTCATGAAATTTTTTTCAAAAAAATAGTGCTCATTGTTCATTTGCGTTTTGATACTCGTTCTTTTTACTCGTATTTTTATTAATGTTAGAAATAGAACAGATCCCTAGGGCACTCCTGCAGTGATATCTAACCCCTCTCAAGTACTGCACCCCTAGAAGCAGTACTTCATGACGGACACAATCGAAAGCTTTTTTCAGGTCACAAAAAACTACCGCGGCCACTTCTTCGTCATTTATCTTCTAATAATAAATATGGCATCATCAGTGTTTTTTGACTGCTGAAACAGAGACAGAGAAAGCAATTTATGTCTATCAAGGAAGCACAACATCCACCTTAATTAGCCACTCTACAATTTTAGTATAAGTTGCCAGTAAGGATATTGGCCGGTAATAAGATGGTAAATTCTTATCACCCTCCTATTAAACAAAGGTCCTACCCAAGATTGCTTCAAAAATGAGGGAAAACTGCCGGTAAAAAAAGAATTAATAATGGAATCCGCCAACAACAGCCTAACTGAGATATCGTCCCATCCAGAAGATTTTCTATTTTTGATACTCAGTTTCTGAGCAATCGTACAGTAGTATGAATTAATATTATCTGCTTTCAAATTGGAAGCACATATGTATATTTCTTCTTTTTTTTTCTCGTAGGTCGTTACTCTTTTTGTTTATTGGATGCGGATGGCCAACCTCTCATTGTAATAAATCTTCCTTGCCTGTTTCATCGTCTTTCTGTAGATGCTCCTGTATCCATTATTTAAAGTAGGTAGCACAACACTGGACGGTGGAGTTGCAACAAATAAATATTTTCACATTTTAAGGGTAGGTCCTGGGTGTCCAAGTGAAATGTAGGTAGAGCAATCTTGCCCAAACAATAGGGATTCCTTAATTGGGTAGAAACGGCTAAAAATTGAGACGCACACAATAGATAATGAGTATTTGATTATGATCATTAATGACATAACCTAATGACGTTATGGTTTGTGTTTGTGTCAAATGTTTGTGTGCCTCTTGTCGGCCATTTTTGTGTCACGTGTTTTGGATAGTCTAATTTATTTGACTGACAGGTTTCGCGAACATTTTTAATATTTTCAATATCTCGTTTGAGGTTAGGCCAGTAATATTTCCATCGGACTTGCGCTTCAGTTTCGTTAATTCTTGATAGTAGGCCTGGATTATTTCACTTCTCTTTCTTTGCTATTGGCGTCTCTTAGGAGAAGGTTGCATTTGAAAAAGTCGAATGCAGAATTTTTAAAAGTTTCTTTAAGGGTGTTGCATAGAGGAACATAAAGATCTTCGTCCTTAAAAAAATATTGCGTACTTCTTTTTGGGGTCTATCTTTCCTTTAAGAAGCTTTATAAAGCTTCCTTCTAAGTTATTCTTGCGTACTTGGACATGTACCCTGGATTTGTTAGGAAAGACTACTTCCATTATTGGCTTTGTTGGATTATAATTAACAGACTTTAGCACAAATTGGTTATTGTAGTAGTTAAGGGCTCTTTCGCTAATTGGAATGCCGAGTATAGGCTCTTCCTGAGCAGTGTGTCTAGTTCCATTATCTTCTTCCGGGTCGGCTTGTGTGCGTTCTAAATTATCAAGGATTTCACTGATGACCTTTTGTATCTTCACTCGCGTTGCGGGTTTCTCTAGACCTTCGTGTATGTCGAGGATTGATTCTGCATTGTTGTACAAAGATGCGTTATCTTCGTCTTGTGGTGGTTGTTTTTTCAGGTAATGACCAACTATCAACCAGAAACTTTCTAACAATTTTCATTGCCAACGAAAGCTCAGACCAATCAGTGTAGTTCAACGCCGGTAGGGGTATTTGCTCTCGGAGTAGTTTTTTCT